TATATATATATATGTATGTATCTATGCTCGCGGTCTCTCGGGCTCGTCCGCGTGATCCTTCAAGTACCACCAGACAGGGGTGAACGCTTTTTGGGGTGCCCGCAAAAATGTTCGAGGCCTTGCAGCAAATACCGCCAGTGCATTGGAGCGGGGGCGCGATTTTGCAGCTTTGCAGTCTGGGGGGGGGGGGGTGGGAAAGTGAAACACATACAAGCGCGTGCACATGCTCGTCACTCTCGGCAAAAGATTATTCAATCGTATTTATTCTTGAAATAAGTGGGATACCACCCCCACATCAGAAGCCATGATTACAACTGTGACAAGACCTCGGGAAAATTCCACACCTTCCTTGAACACCAAGGCTGAGCAACGTGAATCCGGTTTGGGTTGTGTGTGGGGTTTAGGGCTTAGAGGCAGTCGTTGCTGTGATCGGGCTGTGGCGCGCTGTATGTGCTGCTGTTTTCCGTGATTGATATGCATTTTAGGTCTATGTGTACCAGGATTGTCTTCACGTGTCTAACATCGGGGTCTAGCTAAATACCTATACTATGTTGGGAGTATAGTAGTACAGTATACCCCTAAACCCTATTCTAATTCTTAAGGCCCCTGTCTTATAGATCCCTTATGGTAGCCCATCTGGAAGCCTTTAAAGGAGCCCGTCAAAGCAACCCTATTCTAATTATTAAGGCCCCTTTCATGTGTCGAAGAGAGAAAGGTGGTGCATCTTCGAAATCGCTGCCTTTCTGCACAGCCGCAGTCCCGGTTGCAAGGCAGACCTTCAGATCGTTCCTCCGTTGTTGGGGCCGGCGCTTCTGGGATGTGAAGTGCTGTTCGGCATATCACTCTTTATATACAGCTACATAGAATCCGCCTTGTCCGCTTCAGAAGATGGAATACTCGTGGGAGAAGTCTATGTGGTGGTCTCATCCGTTCACGTCCTGCTATTCGTAAGCCTCGTGACACATGCTTTGCGCGGATACGGCCGCAACATTGATACTTTGCAAGGGCAGCTCCGTGGGTTCAAGGTTGAGCATGCGAGAAGCGCTTGCTGCGACGGCGGCCATAGAAGCAGTTCTGCTCGTCTCACTTGCGACCGAAAGGTCATTCACACATGCATTTCAGCATGGTTCAGCTCGCTGGACAGCTTTGAAAGGCAAGTGCAAACTGACGTGCGGCTGGCCATTATCGATCAGCTTGCATATCAAGCCGTCTCTTATCAACGTATCGTGCTTCTTTCCACTCCGTATGTTTGGCTTCGTTTTCATTATGCAGCTAGCCACGCAGACGATCCCATCCGACAGGTAGTCGACATGGCCCAGACGTTCACTTACTTGCTGGCAATCTTCCCTTTGGTTGACAAACTGGGCGTCCGCCTGTGCTACCGTTGGCGAGCGCGATGTTGCTGGCTCTACTTGGATTTCGTGCTATCGGTGGCCATCGTGATCGTGGGTTTGTCGTTCTACATCGCTTGTTACACGATCCAACTCTACGTCTTCCGTCAAAACGACCGGGGACTTCTCCTGAGTGTGATCTCAATGCTTTCATGGTGGACGGTCGTGGCCATCCTGTGGCGGTTCATTTGAGTCCACGAGCTGTCCTGGCTTCAAGTCAGAAGCTTTCCACCCTTGGCAGCATTAAGCCGTGAACCCCAGGCTGATGCCACGGACACGTGAGATTCCTGCCGACTGCAGCTTTGAGGTATAGTCATCATCATTCCCATCTTCAGCATCATTACATGAGCATCACCGTAACCATCGCCAACATCATCATCGTCGTCATCATCATCATCGCAACACTCGCAAATCACACCATCGTGTTTCAAGGGCATGTCATGTTCATCCATCCTGTTGAACCTTTTCGGCCTACTGCGGCCAGGCGAGCATGCTCACGGGTTAGAGAGACTTCGGTTTGAGTCAGGATGGAGCTAATTGCGTTCCAGTACAGCACTAAGCCACATCCAGACCTTCCTAAGTGGCAAGGCAACATTACCATGACATCTTTACCCTGAGCATCATCATCGCAAGAATCGTGATTTTTTAAACTTGCGTTTTCCACCTGGGCCCTCGGCAAAATGTCGAGGGTTTCATTTTCGAAGGTCGGGCTTCCTATCTGGAGGAAACTATACGGACCCAGTCACCAAAGAACCGTCAGGCGAGCTCGGAAAGGGACAAATGAGCTCAGGCTGAAGACCCATTAAACCCTGAACCCTAAACCCTACAAACCCTAAACCCTGAACCCTGATGCCCCAACACCCTAAACCCCATAAGCCCTAAACCCTATAGCCTACAGGTTTGAAGGCTCGGGGGTTCGGGACTTCGGATTTGGGTTCGGTCAGGTTGGAGCGGATTGGGAACCCGACTACACGAAGTCCCGAGAGCCCTCGCGCGAGTTGAGGGTTCAGGGTTCATGGTTTTGGGTTTAGGGTATTTTTCAGATTCCAAGTGGCTCTAGACTCGCTACATGTGATTCTGGAACCCTCACGATTGTTGTTTGGAGCCGCTTGGGGTTGGAATGGTAGGCTGTAGGTACTCTGGAATTTCGATTTCAGGGCTTCAGCTGACGGCCGTATATAGAAGTCTTACCAACGCCACTGTCATCAGATGGTTTGATTTAGGGTTTATAGGGTTTATAGGGTTTAGGGTTTAGGGTTTAGGGTTTAGGGTTTAGGGTTTAGAGTATGCTTCCCAACTTGCAGCTTCGTTTTTCGTGGTGAACACAGCTGTTCAGTCCCAAGCCTTCCCCCAACACCCAGGATCCCAGGAGAGCTTCAGTAAAGTCTGACTGGACCATACCAGTTCTGAGAACCCTAAACACTAAACCCTAAACCCTAAACCCTAAACTCTCAAACCAAACCAAGATCTGGGTTTTGCATTTTGCAGTCTTGCGGTCTCCGCAGTTCTCCGAACTCAGAGGCCTTCTCAGCAATGTGGCAAGGCAGAGTAGCTTGCCGAAGTATTGAGGTCGAAATAATTGGATAATAGTCTTCCCTTATGGTCCCTATAATCTTATAAACTTATTCTACTATATAACCCCAAACTTTATTCTAGTCATTGGGCCTCTTTACAGTATTAGTGTCTCACCACCTTGAGGCGATCACTACAAGAGGTCACCAGTGCCATGGCGCAGAGCTCGGAGACAGTTCTGGGCAAGCCAGCGGCGATTGCTGTAGAGGCCGGTTTAGGGTTTAGAGTTTAGGGGTTTAGGGTTTAGGGTTTAGGGTTGCAGAGGCAGCGTTCGGCATTGACGACGACAGAGCTGGGCGGCAGCTGGTGCAGTCCTACATTGCCTTTATCCACCGGATGGAGGCAACGCGGCCAGAAATACTACGCGGAGTCCCTGTTTGGAAGCTGTTGCGTTACTTGCCGTTGGCTTGGCTAAGAGATAAGCTCGACGACTGGGTTCTTGTTAAGGGATTTAATTCAAGTTACCATAATAAGGAAACCATATTATAGTTATTCGGCTTCGTGACGCACGCTCTGCGAGGTTATGCCCGCAGCGTTGACACGCTGCAAGAGCAACTTCGTGATTTCAAGATCGAGCATGCCAGAAGCGCTTGCTGCGACCACGGCCACGACGACAAGTCTCTATGCGACCGCGAGATATTCTTGAGTGCATCGCTGCGTGGTACAATTCACTCGACAGCTTTGAATTGCAAGTGCAAACTGAAGTGCGGAAGGCCGTCATCGATCAGCTGGCGTACAAGACCTTCTCTTATCAGCGCGCCTTGCAAGTGTTTACTCCGTATGTCTGGATACGTCTTGGGTATACAGCTAGCAACGCAGACGATCCCAGCCGACAGGTAGTCGATCTAGTCCAGACGCTCGCCTATTTCCTGGCGATCATCCCCATGTCGGACAAACTGGCCTTCGACTTGTGCTACCGCTGGCGAGCGCGATGTTGCAAGCCATACTTGGACTTCTTGCTATCGCTGGCCGTCTTGATCGTGGGTTTGTCGTTCTACATCGCTTGTTGAGCGATCCAAGTCTACGTCTTCCGTCAAAACGATCGGGGACTTCTCCTGAGTGTGATCTCAATGCTTTCGTGGTGGACTGTCGCAGCCATCCTGTGGCCGTTCATTTGAGCAGAACCCTAAACCCCTAAACCCT